TCTTTATACTTTCAATGTTTTGCAAATGATTTGGTACAAATTTAATTTTGACTAAGGAGCCCTGGTGTTGTGGTGGGTTAAGCATAATTCTGCTAACACCCACCAACTGCTCCAAGGAGGAAAGATGAAGCTGTTTGCTCCCGTAAAGATCTACAGCCTCAGAAAGTCTATGAAGGAGTTCTACTCTGTCTACTATAGGGTAGTATGAGTTGGATGGTGGGTGAGCTTGGTTTGGTTTGAGTTCAGTCCTTTTTGTATTTGCATTTGATTTTAAATTTCCCGGTTCAAGTCAATGAAACTAGTCTCATTTTATATAGTAACGTTTCCATTTAGAATTAATTATCACATAAATGATAAAATGACCAGTGATCTTGAACTCCTACTTTAGTACCTAAGTTACACTTTAGTATTGTGAAGTCTTCCAAAGTCAAATTATATTTTGAATGCAATGGAAATTATCCTAATCACATAACATGTATTAAACAATAGTTGTATAAGTGCCAAAACTGGCGGTGGCTTTTGTCAGTGCAACATCTAAGCCCAAAGTAACATCCTAGGGAGTTTTCAGTGATATCCTATGTAATTAGATATACCTTCTACTGTTTCTGACTAAAGCATTTCTCCATCTTCAAATTCCAGCTGTTCCCCAAATGGATGCAAATGCTGAGAGGTCTAAGGGAGAGCCAACAACACTTGCAATAGCATCACATCAGATAAACCATTCCTGAGGATGCTTAATGAGTGTTTTTTTAAAAAAAAATTCCAGCTTTCATTTTATATTTCTAAACATAAACTCCCAGCCTTAAGAAAAATAAGTCCCTCAAATACTTCAAGACTAAGAGACTGCAATGTTTTTAATACGGACATACTTTATGGTCACAAAACAAATAGTACCCCTTTTTCCCTTTACAATAGTCCTGTTAGGATACACAAGACAGGTATTATTCCTAATTCAAAGATGAGGACATTGAAGAACAAAAGTCAAGAGGCTTTCCCAAGATTTTGGATCTTGTAAGTACTGAATTTAGGACCAGAACCCATGTTTTTCTATTCCCAAGAGGAGAAAAATAACTTTATGAGTTACAAAGCTCTCAAAGTCAAGTTAAATGTAAAAATAAAACTGACAACAACAGAATCTAAAGTACATTTCACTGAAGAAGTTGGAGGAAATATTTCCTGTGAGAACACATGTATATCACTCAGTTTTGAAGAAAGAACAAGGCTCCGGAAACCTGACTTCAAGTCTCGGCAAAACTGCATACCAGGCATGTGAACTTGAAGGAGGCATTTAACCTCTTCCTTTTAGCTTCTGCCATGTTAAACTGACTGTCCTCTCAGAGCTACGGTAATCAAATGAGAACAGACTTTTGTTTATATACATGCTATTTATCATCATATTGTCATAAAATAGAATTCTGCATGCCATTAACAGACTGGTTCTGTGTTCAATGAATGGAATCCAGTTGTTTTGGGTAAAAATCTTATTACCTATCTCTCATATTGAATTAAACTCCTTCAGGACAAGGTGTAAACTCCTTAGCTTAAAAAGTCTTGTCATGCCTCATCTCTTGACAATTCTATCTTTCTCAAGTCTGCAACCACTTCCTGCATCCCACATTTCTGAAATTTCTACTTCCATGTATGTATTATAAAGTTCTTTCAGGAACATCTTACTATTCATCCTCACTTGGCTAATTCTTACATGATCTTCAAAATCATCTAAAGTTACTCTTGAAAACTGTTTCCCAAATCCTACAGTTTCCAATAAATATACTGCTTCTAGGCTCTTACTAACTCTATCCCCATATCAACGTTGGTCTTCACCATGCTGCACGTTAGTTAGTTCCATCTTTCCTCTATACCAACAGTGCCCAGTGGAACTTCATGCAATGATGAAAATGATCTACAGCTGCATTGTCCGATATGGTAATCACTGGCTATGTGGTTAGTATGACCGAAGAACTGAATTTTAAATTTCATTTGCTTTTTAATCATGTATCAAATGGTTATGGTATTGGACAGCTCAGCTCGAGACATACTATAAACTCTTTGAGGACAAAGACCATGTGTTTACTGGTCACTGTATCCCCAGCACCTACTATAAGGCATGACATAGAGTATGATTCAGCGCTTGTTGAGAGAATGAGTGAATTGGTAAATATCTATAAATACTTAGGTACTGTTGGGAAGTGACTCCTGTGTAGGATAAGCACTGGACTGTTAACTGTAAGGTCAGTGGTTCAAACCTACCAGCCGCTCCTTGGGAACCCTGTATGAGGTTGCTATGAGTTGGAACAACATCTCAAGCATTCTACATTACTTTATCAAATTTGGTCAAGCCTGTTCACATCTTGTAAGGTACACTTCATTAACTAACACAGAAGAAAAAAACCCTTGGCAAGGCATTCACTTCTACTCAGGGCACTTCAGCTTCACAGTCACTTCTAAATGATTTCCAGATGACTTCTGGACAAACGTTTATACTATTTATGAAATACTGCAACAGTCAAAGCAGCGTCATTTTTGAATGTCAAATTCAACTACAACATTTTATAAAGGGGGGGGAGGGGGGGAAGGGAATGACCTAAAAGCCTGGCTTTCACCATGCTTATATTAACTTCAAAAACAAATTCCTTAACTGTTTAAATAATTCCTAGAATATGAAAAACTATCTTGAACTATTGACAAAATCAACCATCAGTTCTCTTACTGAATTCATTTCTGAAATGCCATATAGTATTTAAAAACAGTAAACCGACTTGATTGAACGGGCTTCATCACTATGATGGCAAAGTAAGAAGAGAACATGACCTGGCTACAAAGAACTAGCAGTCAAATTTAATTTGGTTTCAATTAAAAGTCACGGTAGACAGAATTCATGATGTTGACATATGCTTGGTCATTTGAGATTTTAAGAAATCCAAGATGTGAACTTTACAAAGCAGAGATTAACCAGGTTTGACTCCATCCAGATCCCTCTATAAAACCCTTCAGGTATAATTGGCAGTCAAAGGCAACAACAAAGGTGGTCTGCACACAAAGGCCCTTGCAGAACAAGGAGAATTTTTCTACTTCCTAGCCAGTGTCATCACATCCTACAGCTGTTATACAATGATTGAACAACTGTTTGTTAATGTCCTTTCATCACATAATTACTTCTGTAAGGAGAGAATAATCCTAAAGCCTATTTCTAAGTGAAATAAAAAGAAACAGGCAGAGAATCTGAAAAGTTTGATGGGGTATGGAGGCCTCCAAATATATAACTCACTCATTTTAAACTTAACTTATTAAAAATGAATCATTTTTTACTATAAATGATTAATGCTCACCATAGGAAAAAATGCAAAACCAAAAAAGTACAAGATAGGCAAAAAGAATATACAGCATACACTAGTTTTTTGTTTTGTTTTTGTAACCCAAAATCACATTTGGTATATACTGGTTCAAGCTCACCAGCTGCTCCTTGGAAACCCTATACAGGACCGCTATAGGTCAGAACTGACTCATCGACACTTCACAACAACCACAACATATATATTAGGTGTATGCTCTTTTTTCCCTGTAAACTTTTAAGATATTAAAATAAACGTGAGCTAACATTTATATAATATTCACTGTTTCAGGCATGGTCCTCAGCATTTACATGTGTCAGTTCACTTTGTATTCACCAGAACACTGTGAGGGAGGGATTATTATCCTCACCTTATAAATGAAGAAAATGAGCAGAGAGGAGTTAAGTAACCTGACCCAGTTCACAGGCTTTTAAGTGGTAAATACCATAATCTTTGCTCAATTTTTGCTAGGGGAGCATTAGGTTCAGCTAAGTAGTGTGGGAAGAAAAATGTTCTCCTTAATTTTATTAAATCCTTAACTTCTATTTCAATAGCCTATCAGAAGTAGGTAGTATAAACAGTATGTTTTATATCTTTAGTCCTATACCCCATTCTGGAAGAAGGGCTGAATTAAGATAGGGGCATTCATAGGACTTGGATATAATACTCAACAGATGGGCTATGTGACAAAATCTGTAATATGAATGCAGATTCCTTTAGGGCTATATATCTTTTAGTATTAAACTGTCACTTTCTTAGCTCAACATATTACATAATCCATTAGCTTAGTTTTTAAAACACATTTAACATGATTCAAGTTTGACATTTTTTACCTGAATTTATAAAGTATAGTTGTATTTACCAATTCCCAATAAGATAGTTCCCAATTTCTTTCAAAGTTAAAAGTCCCTATTTCAACTATGAATTTTTAAGAAAAAAGCATAAACAACAAAACAAAATGGAGGTAAATACAACATGGAAATTTTTAATTTTTACCACAGGCAAACCATTAATCTATCTACCCATGAATTTCCCAAATAATTCAACTAACAGACCTGTTTCAAAGAGCCTCCCCATAACTTGTTTGCCATTGATTAACTCTCATCGCCTCAGCTCCACCCATATTTCCAGAAATTGGAAATGTGAGATACAACTGATTAGTTCTGAAGCATTCTTAAAGATCAAAGTGTTTTTAGAGATCTGGATGATGCTCAATACCTTCATCTCTTCCCCACAAGTTACTTACAAATGCCCAAGGGCAAACTGTCAATGTTTTCCTTGCCTCATGATCCTGAAACATCTTGTATTTTTTGTGTAGTTGTGTTACCCATACAACAACTCCTTTGGCAAAATGATAATACACAGCAGTCTTGTTATCTCAGGACAACACTGTAATTAAATTTTGTCACTGCATTCATGGTTAGAGGAACTGCAGCAAAAAAGTGCTATGAAAGTATCATTTTTTAGATCTGACTTTCAAAAATAGCTTTAGCAATTACACTGCCTTAAAAAAAAAAAAAAAATCAAGATTCCCTCCTCAAAAAAACTCGCAATTTCTTCTGTACAAAGCATACTTCTGAAAGTCCCCAAACAGAAAACATCAGATTCTTTCCTGTTTTAAAAGATTCTGAAGAACATAATAAATAAATTGCCCAAAGTAATACTTACAGATCTTCTAGAAAAGGAAAATTCTTAAATGCATCTTCTGGCAATTGAGTAATGTTGTTCATACTTATGTCTCTGGAAAACATAAAGTTAAAAGGCTTGTTAACTAAGTGACATTAGAATTAAAGCATCTAATTCAATGGAAAAGAAACTGAGTACTGAAATTTTATAAAGCAGCCATAATATATATATATACATAGAAATAAACAAAATATGGCTTCAGATCACAAAACTAAAAAGTTTCATCTTTTATTATAAATTATGTTCTATAGTTTAGAAACATCCAACATGATTCTTCTTTACCCAGATGCTGAATCTTCCCCATTAAAGCATCTTTAACACTGTACTTTCAAACTAGCTACGATGAGTAGGCCCGTGTGGCTTGCCAGGGCTCCTCCAGTACCGAAAGTACCGTGGCCTGATGTAGTCATGTCACATCCTACTCACAGCTGAAGGGCAATGGTGGGTTTGAACCACTGACCTTTCAATTAACAGTCCAGTGCTTATCCTACAGTGCCACACCAGGACTCCTAGAAATCAACAAATTAAGATACCTCAAGACCGATAAAATGGACTTTCAGTGTGTCTTCTGGAGACCACTGTCAAGGACAATAGCTCTATCACAGTCCTATTTTCTGTAAAAGTTTTAAAAGTCCTCCAGGTAAGTTCTAAATGGATTTCATTTTCAGTCCATGAACAGATGCAAGTTAGAGACAAGTGTATACATGACAGGTATGCAGTCCAACTCCAGCTTCCCCTTCCAGAGTCAGCAGAAAGGAGAGAACTCATTGGATGATATAACTCAAGAATTAACTAGTCCAAACAGCTACAAAACATTTTATTAACCATTTCCTTCTTCCCTAGCAGCTGCCTTATAAACTGGCTTTCGCCCTCCAAACTCCACTTAATAGCAACACCTTGAAAGACAAGTTAGCTCAGCTTTGCAAGGAGAAAGCCCCAGCATGCACTGGGTCAGCTGTCTTCACTCAGGTTCCTCGGTCTCTCGTCTAGTGTTGAATTCAGTGGTTGAGTCTTCATTTCTCTCTTCTCTAGAAATCACCATAAAAATTCACATATGCAACATACCCATTACCAGATTAGACATACTGGTATAAGGAGACAGAAAAGAAATCAGGCACACCTGAAACAAGTCAGCTAACAACAAGAGTGTGTATCATTTTCATCAGTTCTGTCAAGTGATATGTTGTTTTAAAGAACAGTGACAAGATTGGAGTACTGATGTAGCGTGTATAATAAGCAGTGGACTAAGGAGCTCTGGTAGCATACTGGTTACAAGTCAGGCTGCTAATTTCAAGGTCAGCAGTTCAAAACTACCAGCCAGTCCACGGGGAAATGAAGAAGCTTTCTGTTCCCGTAAAGATTTATAGCCTCAGAAACCCTATACTGGGGGCGCTGTGAATCAGAACCAACTAACTCCACAGCATACCATCACTAAACTCAAGGTAGGTAATTCAAATCCATCAGCCACTCCTCGCTCCTGTACAGGGTCACTATGAATCAGAACTGACTTGAAGGCACCTAACAAGGAGCACCACCAAGATAGGTGAACCCTGTCTCCTGACTGTCCTTCCCTAAAGATTCAGGATTGGAATTTGCACTCCTTAGCAGCTTTTCTCATGGCAGGTTTACAGATTCTTTTGGCTAAGGAAGGACAACACAATAGCAGCAGCCAAAATGTAGTTAATGTTCCTAGCATAGTAAAACTGTACATAAATTGTGGCTTTGTAAATGGGAAAACTGAGGTAAAGTGACCTCCCCAAGGCCATTCAACTAGTGGTCTAACAGCAAATGTGAACTCCAGACTCCATGACTGTAATTACTCAGCCTTCTTACATGTCTTCTGAAACCTGTTATTTCTCTTTAAAGATAGTAAAGAAATAAGGCAAATCTTTAAATCCTATCAAGGTTAAAAGCAGGAAGGATATTGCCTCAAGACCTTGGCATGATAATCAATGATGCTCAGGAAGAACTATAAATAGTTTCAGCAATTGAGGAACCAAAGTTCATAATTTCTTCAGAGCATGAAGCTTTTCTTGAGATCAGTCCTTATTGTAGTTGTTGTTGTCATGGGCCGGCCGTGGAGTCAGTTTCAACTCATAGCAACCCCTGTACAGGGTTTCCAAGGCCGTAAATCTTTACGGGAGTAGAAAGCCTCATCTTTCTCCCGCGGAACAGCTGGTAGTTTCGAACTGCTGACCCTGAGGTTAGCAGCCCAATTCATAACCACTACGCTACCAGAGACTCATAATTCTGTATCATTATGAACAACTCAAACTCTATTAAAGACAATGTTCAAGAAGAATAAAATGAATATACTTCTCCAGAAATTATTTTTATTAACATTTGCCCAATGCTACTTTAGTCCAATTATCATTATGGGGAGATGGGAAATCCTTTGTTTTTCATAAGCACTCTAGCAGAACACTGGAGAAACAGCATCAAAACAGAGTTAAGAGAAGCAAGTTCCACTCACGGCTGCTAAGTGTTATCTAGTTGATTACAACTCATAGTGACCCTGTACAGGGTTTCCAAAGAGCAGCTTGTGTGTTTGAACTGCTGATTTTGTGGTTAGCATTCCGGTACTTGTCATGATCCATACAACTGAAAGCCTTTGCATAGTCAATAAATCACAGGTAAACATCTTTCTGTTACTCTATGCTTTCAGACAAGATCATGACAAGATATGGACAACATTGCCAAAATATGAGTATTCCGGAACACTTAATTGTGCTCATGAAGAACCTGTATATAGACCAAGAGGCAGTAATTCAAATAGAAAAAGGGGACACTGAATGGTTTAAAATTAGCAAAAGTGTGAGCCACAGTTGTATTCTTTCACCACACTGAGGCAATAATACAAGAAGCCAATGATGTGAAGAAGAACACAGCATCAGGTTTGCAGGAGGATTCATTAACAACCTGCAATATGCAGATAATACAACCTTATCTGCTGACAGTGAAGAGGACATAAAATACTTACTGATGAAGTGATATGGGTTGAACCTCAATATAAAGAAGACAAAAATCCTCACCACTGAATCAAAAATATAACATCCATATAAGTGGAGATAAGACTGACATTGTCAAAGACTTCATTTTGCTCAGATCAACCATCAACATTCATGGAAGCAGCAGTCAAGGAATTAAACAATGAATTGCACTAAGCAAATCTGTTATATAAGACCTCTTTAAAGTGTCCAAGAGCAAAAGATGTCAGTTTGAGGACTAAGGTGCACCTAATGCAAGCCAATAACCTCATATGCATGTGAAAGTTGGACAGTGAATAAGGAAGGCCATAGAAGAATTGATGCATTTGAGCTATGGTGTTGCAGGAGAATAATGAAAGTATCATGGACTACCAAAAGAATAAACCAATCTGTGCTGGAAGAAGTACAGCCAGAGTGCTCCTCGGAAGCCAGGATGGCCAGACTTTGTCTCTCAAACTCTGGACATATTGTCAGGAGGAATTACTCACTAAAGGATATCGTGTTTGGTAAAGTGGAGGGTCGGAAAAAAAGAGGAAGGTCCCCCAACTAGATGGACTGACTCAGTGGCACCAACAAAGGGCTCAAATGTAGCAACGACTGTGCGGTTGGCTCAGGACTGGGCAGCGCTTCATTCTGTTGTGCACAGGGACACTAGGAGTCAGTATCAACTCAATGGCACCTAACAGTAATAATCCAGTACTTTTCCTGCAGTGTCATATCAGGTTCCATTTAGCTGCTATGTAATCCTACGCCTCAGTTTGCTCATCTGCAAAACAAAAGAGCTGAACTGATAGGTCATATGGCTTTTCAACTTAACATTTTCAACCTTTACATGATTTATTTTTTTCTGTAGTTTTCATGAATGGGCCTATCCTTTTTGATAAAGATATCAGAGATACATTTATGGAAAAGATGTGTTTTTCAAAAGTTCACCATATAGCAAAATTTGAGGACTATTAGTTTGCCATTATAAAAACAACTGAGTCACTCCCACTGAATAATGCATTTGGCTTTAACCAGTATAATTCTTGGGATTATAAAAATAAAACAAAAAGACTTCTAAGTCTATTGAAAGGCAAATAATCTGATATTAAAAAAAAAAAAACGAATTCTGTAAAACATCACACAACTTTTGTTCATTTTTATCTTTCTGATAAAAGAAGGAAGAGGGACAGTCACAATGTATTGTGTTACAAGATGAGACACTCCACATAGTTTCCTCTGAGCTTGGCACACACCTGAATCCAGGTGAGTGTCATAGTAACAGGAAAATGGATTAATTGCCTCATCAGAAAAAGGTCTAGAGAGAACAGAAAAAAAACATATAATTAGAGAGAATTTACTGCACTATTATTCTTTTCATGCCAATTTTTTTGAATAGATATACATATATAATTCTCTAATTTTTCCCCCCTCAGAGTTAACAAGACATAACAGGCAGTTCCGTGAGTTGTAAATGTAATTAGTGGAACTTCATTTTTACTAACTAATACATGTCATACACATGGTGAGATTTTATTTCAAAGTTTCAGGTTCAGGAATTGGTTTCCAAATTGTTCTGAACATTACAAACCCAGAGAGATCCTCTCTTTATAAGTGCTTTACCTCAAACTTTCTGACTGTTAGTTATAAAACATGGAAGAATAAAGAAAAGAAAAAGAAGAGGGGGTTGGGAAAGGCTACAAGATGTTATCTCCCAAGAAGTTCTGAAAACATGTGGTTACAGAGTATAAGGTGGGTGGGTATTCATTTAAAATAATGAAGGCTAATGGTGATAAACAACCTACAGACAGTCTGAAGAGTAGATTCCAGACCTGACATCACTAACACCAGGAAGAGAATTTAAGATGCACAGAATTTTAAATTAAAAGATTAGAAAGGATGCTGGGACGGATGAGTTAAACTGTAACAATTTACAAATGGAAGGCCTATACCAATAATTAGAAATATATTAGGCCAATAATTAGAAATATATGTTGTTGTTGTTATGTGCCGTGGAGTCAGTTCCAACTCATAGCGACCCTACACAGGGTTTCGGAGGCTGTAAATCTTTACGAGAGCAGAACA